TTAAAACAGAAATATATGATCCAGCATTACCTATTGATAGGTATTTTCCCAAAAAATATTAAAACTAAAATACTAGTATATGAAAAGAAGTATATATTCCTTTGTTCATGTTAGTATTATTCACAGTAACTGTCATGGAGCCAACCTAAATGTCCAGTCAGTGGAATGGATCAAGAAATTATGAACACATAAACACACACACACATCCCTCTCTCTTTACAGAATACTACTCAGCTATTTTTAAAAGATGAAGTAGTGTCCTTTGGAAAAAAATGGATTCCCAGGTGGTTATATTAAGTGAAACAATTCTATTACAGGAATATAAGTAACAACAAAAAACTGAGTAAGTACAGGAAAAAAAAATCTTAGACTTTGAAAAACACTGATGTTGAGAGGGAATGGGGGCAAGAAAGGAAGGAGGGCTAAGAGGTAGGACATCAGCACTGGAGTCTGGTGGAGAGGAAGCGAAGTGCATGCATGTAGGGAGGTATGAAGCTGTACTCACAAAGTTATATAATTATGTAAAAGACTGAAAAATTATTAAAACTTGAGAAAGAAAAGCTTTTATAAAAAGATATGCAAAGATTTTAAAAAGAAAATTCATAGGATGATGTGCTTTTGAAGCTCTAAGCCAAGATCAAAATTTTCACATGTCACTAATTATGTTGTGTTTTTCCCTAAAACTTCTGAAGTACTTCATGACTATTCAAGAGATTTTAGTTGCCAGGGTGCCTGAATTTAAGGGGAGAAAAATTACAGTTAGAATTGCAAAGAATGAAAAGTTCGTGGACAAGGAAAACCTTTTACGCACACTACTACTGAATACCAACTTTGAATTCAATATCCTGAATATTGGCTTTTTTAAAAAAAATTAGTTATTTCTACAGTCTTATTACACATTTAAAGTGAATCCTCACTTTTATAAATCTACAGAAGTTTTAAAAACAGTACACTGCATTTAAGTAACAAGAATTAAATAAAACATGGTTTTCAAAGATGAGTTTAAAATGATGACCAGAAAAGTTCTAAATGTAATTACCCAAAGCAAGTATTTCCAATTTTTCAAATGTGATTTAAGCGGTAGCTGAAGGTTAAAATGCAGTACTATTATCAATCAACAAGTGTTGCAGCAATGTCTTGGAAATTTCTTCATTTACAATAGTCATCACTACATTCAGAGAAATAAGAATACCAAAACTAATATATTTATCATCACATCTGGACACATCTTTGCCCACAATTCAAAATGTCAACCTAACAGAACATTTAGGTACACTTGTAAATTTGTGGGGTGCACGTTTTTCCTTTTAAAAGCTGGCATGAGCTTTAAAAGCTTTCTTGAGACTGGCAAAGTGGGTTGGAAAAGACAACTTTTGCTATCACCGAGGAATGGGACAGTGTTCCCCCGCCCCACTACCACCTTACATACAAAGTCCTTTATGTTCTACTATGAAAGGCTTAAGGTACAAAGAAATAGAGAGGAAAACTGCCTGCCTATGGTTATTCCTCAATGCTCTTGTGTTAAAGACCCAATGCTCTTGTGTTAAAGCACAGGTGTGAAGAACCATGTGCAACAGAAAAGTTCTAAAACTGCTTTGGTATGATGGTTGCACAACTCTTTTAAAATTACTAAAAATCACCGAATTGTATATTACAATGTACAATTGTACATTACAATGCTATGTAAATTATACTTCAAAAAAGCTATTAATAAAAAATAACCAGCAAGGCCTACAGTAGGACAGTGCAGCTGTAAAAATGAATGTATCTAACACCCAGGGACATCCAACTCATAACTTATAATAAATCCAAAATACAGTTCTGCTTTCCCTGAACCTGTAAGGCACCTATTAAGTGTCCCCCGTTTCGCTAATATGTTCCTTAAGAGCTTCTGGTCTGGAGCCCTCCCTGGTGGCCCAACAGGTTAAAGCATGGCACTGTGAAGCTATCCACAGCCACTACACACAAGATCCATCCACTACACACAAGTAACCCAAATGGTGTTACTCCTGTCTCACCCCTGCTTCCCTAAGCAATGTTTCAGCTGATCTGTCTTGTTCTGCTCCCCAGTCTCTGGTTAATCCCCTCAGCGACCCCCCCCCACCCCCATCTCTGGCCTGTACTCCTATTCTTGTATGCATAAATAAATACATCTTTATAAAATAAAAAAGAACTTCTAATCTCTCTTTCATTTTGGTCTACACTGCACTAACAAGAAAGAAAAAGACTTCTACAGTCATGCTCATGATTCCTTCTGAACTGTATCAGTACACACAGAAACAGTAGAAAAGTTAGCAAGTGATTTCGTAGAAATCAATCCTCCTTATCCAGCATACATGGGCATGAAAACCTCTAACTGACTTCCCAAGTCACAACCCCCCTCAGTAGTTTATGTATACTTCTCTTAAATTCTTTAAAACTTAGATTGTAGTTATTCAGGAACATGTCTTAACCAACCCTTTAATAACCCTCATGTCATGAACACTCTTTCACATTCTAGCAAAATGTTCTTTGGATGAGTGGCATTATTTTCCTACTCAAATTGAGGAGAATCAATTCTACCTTCAAAGGGTGCTATTGGACAATCACTAATAAGCTCTTTTTCAGAGCTGAATGGTGGATGATGGTAACAATAAAGACATGTATAATAAACAAATGTCAAACCAACCACTGGATAGCCAATCAGCTAGGCTATAATACAAACAATTAAGAGCATTAATACCCAAATTCTTTACCAATCAGCAGTTTTAAAAAGTCCTTTTGTTAATTAAAAGTTATTCTAAATTCACAGTTTTTTGTGCATTACTCATGGGTCTAAAAACCAACATGTCTGCAACTGCCATTAATACCATGGTGATACCAATACTCAAGGCAGAAAATGTCAAACCTTTGAGGTTTCAAGGAAATTATCAAAAAAGGCCCAAGGAAAATAAACAGAAGTTAACTAGTATCACAGAGAAATTAACCAAAGTTAAATGCAATGGATAGGGCAAAATTAACAACTGAAATCCTTCCCACATGAAGCACATTCACAGCTAAGGAAGTCAAAATGTCATATGCCTTCCAATTAACAACTTCCAGAATGGATCTAAAACAGCAAAATACTGAAAATAGTCAAGGTAATACAAACTTAGGATAAGTTAAGGGTACCATGAATTGATAGATTTAAGTTCTCTAACTCAAGTCGGCACTCAAATCCTACACAGCAAGGAACACATCACAAAAATTACCCAGACCCCTAAAGACAGTGAATAGCCTGTACTGGAACAGCCCCAAAACTATTGGCAACTTTACAGATTTGTCTTAAAAACTGTATTCTGTCATCATCATCCGTGGCTCTGAAAGAACCACGGATTGTTTTTAAAGTTAGAACCTTGCACGTGCTTCCAAAATGATGAGTCAAAATTATTTTCTTATACATACAGAAACTGAAATGCATTTCATTATGAGGTAATTATTCCCAGCAACATATCAGTGGCAAACTTCTGAGTTTGGTTTGTTTCTCTTCACCAGTAAAGTTCTGAAGTTCTTAGGAGTTTCCTTGTCATTTACTTGAACATCATCTACGGTAACACTCAAACCAAAACCACAATAAAGAGGCTTAGCCTCTGTGGGATTCTACATGTAAAAAACATTACTCATAAATAAAATACAATCACTATTGCTTTAAATAACACACATTTGTAAATTTTCATGCCATTTGATGGTCTTCCCTGTTCGATAGCAAAACAAAACCTATGAAGTTGCCAATGAGTTTTTAACTAAATTCATTCTATGATAATACAAGGAAAACGTGAACTTAGAAATTACTGATGAGGAAGTATTGAATGTTCTCAGTCATTTTTATTCAAAAATCTCTAAAGAATTAGTGGAATTCACAATACTGTCCCAGAGTTAGTTTCTTTCAGTTGTTCTGTATCCTACTTCATACCAGGTGTAAATAAAGCAATGAAGCCCTAACAGGATTCATTCATTTAGTCAAAGAACATTCAGACAAAACTTTGGAGTACTACTTACTACAGTCCTACTGGAATGGCACCAACTCAAAAACCGATGAGACTTTTTGGCAATCAACTTCTACGTCTTCAAGAATCAACTAGGAATTTTCTCTTTTGCGCACTCGTACCCCTCAATGTCTACCCCTTAAAAGGCAGTAAAAATAGTTCAACTTAAAACTCTTAACACCACAGCAACAATTCCAGGTAAAAGTAAAAAGATGACCAGAAGACCACAAAATGAGCTTTGACATTTCGTTTAAATGGTCAGCCTGGAGTAGTTCAACTCGTTTTTATGATAGATTCAGTTTAATACCTTCATCTAAATGAAAAGAAACTCTTTCAACATTCTTTTCAATACAATAAAGCTTTAAACACAAACTTCAATATAGTCACACTATTCAATTACTATTTTGCAAAATCGTCCTCCAGTCACCATTCTGTATAAACTAATTAGAAAGGGAGAAAAAAACACAAACTGACAGCTCAGCCATCCAAAATACGCACTTTATCAAACCCCAGTGTTTATTTTCAAGTGCAAGAAAATAACAGACATTTGCAGCTCAAGACAGGAAAAGCACAACCAGAGTTGCTGTACTACCGCCACTATGCTTCTCAAAGAGCAAAATAATTCAGGACAGGCAAATTAAAAACATTCTGCACATGGCAAAAATAAAAAGGTCCAATATCCTACAATCCATAGCAAAAGCACTATTCCCTCTCTTTTTGAGTCTATACCAGTAAGCCATAGATACAAGTGTCAAATAAACTCAGGATCTGTTTAAAATACAACGAAAACCTGGAAAAATTCCCTCCCACAAATCACTTAGTGAACATGAGGCTTTCAACCCAAAGTGGGGGCGGGGACCCACATCACCCCCCACCCAAATGCAGAAAAAGCGGTCATCAACAAGTTGAAAAGGCAGAAAAAAGTACAGCTACCCTCCACCCCCACCTTTAAAAAAAAAAGTCCTTTAACAAAAGGTAACACAGCTCTCCAAGTACCTGGTGGAAGTGCCTTTCCTCACATCGCAGATGCTACATTTAAAGGCTTCAGCACTGTTTCTGAAGGTGCAGACGCTACAATCCCAAAACCCTTCGTCTGCGGCAGGTTTCGCTTGTCTTTTTGGCCTTCGGAGGAGTGAGGAGTGGGGGGAAAAGGGGAGGGAAAAAGACACGGAGCAGGAAAAAGGGGAGAGACAGCAAAACAGGCGCTGGTGAGCCGTCGTAATTTCGCAAAAACCCAGCGCAGGAAACTTCGCTCGGGCGACCACCCACCAACCCTTT